ATTTTGTTAAGACAGAGCTGAAATGTTGAAATCGTCCACAAAAAGTGAACCATCAATGCTATTGTTTAATACTTTAATGAGACTTTTAATTCTTATGCTGAAAAGTGTGACTGATAGCATGCTGCCTTGAGGGATGCCCTGATCGAAATGAGTGAGTGAGTGAGTGAGTGAGTTGGGTTTTACGCCGCTTTTAACAGTATTCCAGTTATATCACGGCTTGTCAGCTTAATGTGGGAGGAAAGCCAGAAGTGATGCAGGTCTCAGACGTTTACCACTTCGGAGAAACCCACGAGCACGGGTATGGTGCTGACAAACCTAGAAACATAATCGGGGTGAACCGGGATTCGAACCCACAATCATAGGTTTCTGGCGTGTCCAGGGGACGCAACTCTGCACAGCGAATCGCGGTGCCTTAGACGACTGGGCCACCCGTGCCCCCCCGATCGAAATGATCAGTCAGGGTAGAGCCCACTCATTCTTGAAATTGTCTGTTGTTTAAAAATGGAAATTGAGGTTCTGCCCCTCAATCCAAATTCATGCAAATCTTTTAAAATACCATGTTTCCGCGTTGTATCATATGCCTTCTCTAGATTGAAAAATATTAATACAGTATTTTATTTGAAATAAATGATTCTAAACGTACCATACAGTTATGATGGGGTGCAATGCCATGCAACTATCGAGTGTATTCCACTCAAATAGTAAAGTATCTCATTCTAAGTTATATGTTTTCAGTCAGTAACCTAAATCTCTTGGTTTTTTTGTTCCACAATAAAAGCAGAGTCGTTTAAATGTGATTAAAACAATCGTCAATATTTGATGACACAAGCCCAGATGAATACACAAATACAACTTCTTACAGGCACCATGATAGTAACATCACCATCAGGTACTGCAATTCAGCAGATATCACAATCAGATACCTATTTGAAACAGCCAATCTGTTATCTGTAGTAGAAGATCACAAAACCTGTTTCCAAAATGCAATTGCTACCCAAACACCATAAGCATTTCTTTATGAATAACTGTGTTTGTTTGTTTGTTTGTTGTTTAACGCCGCACTCTGTAATATTCCAGCTATATGATGGCGGTCTGTAAATAATTGAGTCTGGACCAGTCAATCCAGTGATTGACGCAATTTAGGAATAACTATCAAATAGATCTAGACAGGATACCAGGTGGTCGCCAAAAGGTGGACGTATCCTACCCCACCGGTGGTTCCCATCACTAACACATACGATAATACGAATAAATATGGTAAATTAATGACATTTTTTCTCATAGATTAGGTAATAATTACTAAATCTAAGGAGCAAACAAATGTACTTATTGTATTTTGGAAGTGACAAATATGGAGGTGGGGAGGCAATCTTAGAAACAAGACTATCTATGTTATTATGTTACTCAATAATATTACATAGCTAATAGATCTCTATATTTACCTGTTCAAGTACAAATGTATTTCAATATGTAACTATTTTTAAATTATATAAATGATATACTCTATTTGTTGTATTCCTAAATAGATCTAGATTACAATCAATAATTCACTCAAGATTGGGAATGGTATAATATACGTCATGACAGTTAAGACGATTAACTGGAAATAACATGATTTTGTTTTGTTTGTGTTCCAGTTATATGGGGGCGGTCGGGTAGCAGAGTGGTTAAAGCGTTCGCTCGTCACGCTGAAGACCCGGGTTCGATTCCCGACATGGGTACAATGTGTGAAGCCTATTTCTGGTGTCCCCCGCCGTGACATTGCTGGGATATTGCTAAAAACGGCGTTAAACCACACTCACTCACTCACTCACTCAGTTATATGACGGCGGTCTGTAAATAATCGAGTCTGGACAAGACAATCCAGTGATTGATATCATGAGCATCGATCCACGCAATTGGGATTCAATGACATGCATCGACCACCTGATCCTGTTAGTCGCCTCTTACGACAAGCAGAGTCGCTTTTTACAGCAGGCATGGGTGCTACCTAGGGGTTCCTATTCTACCCCGGATCTTCACGGGTCTTATTGTGTATATTTAGGATATTAGTATACATATTCTGAAATAACATTTTGCACTTTCCTTCTTCTCTTCGATCATATCGCACAAAACACAAAACGTGCCTCTTCTTTATCGGAGGCGCCCGCTGCCCGTGGTCAGCAAATGTAGTTATCGATCCATGACCCGGCAATGCTCGCTCGCCTCAGTGGAATGTACACATGTCCTTGCTGTTGGGAATTATATCCTTTGACATTGTGTTTATTACACGTTATAAGACAATGGAATGGTCATATTTTACTATAAAAAAATACTTAATTGACCTTAATATTGATTTCTGTCTAATCTTTTTCAAACGCGGGGATCCATCCAAAAATGTGTCAACAAAATCTAATTTTAAAAAGCATTGGTAATTTTATGTCATTTTTTTATTCGTTATCTTTACCTTTGCCCTTCTGAAAACGTTTGTATTGAAGACAACAAAACATTAGCAACGGAGACTGTCAAATTCAGAAAATAACATGAAGCAGTACCATTTCTGCTAATAAAGAATGTGATCAAACTGATGCTGGCAATAGAAACGAGAAAGGTTACACGAAGACCTTATGGTGTAGGTAAAGTAACACCAATCTCAGATACTGCACTTTTTTCAGAATCCATACAGGTGTAAAGGACCAGTTAACTTTAACACTGCTTCAATTTGCAGGTTAATGTGCTATTAGAAAGACTCATTGTGCTGTCTCTCGTGCTGCCTCCTTGTACCAAGCAGGTGGTTGTGTCATCATGGCATATCTTCGACGTCTTAGAGGTAAGTGCCAAATGGATTTATTTTTCTGTGTACAATTAATTAACTTATTTTGGGGGGATTTAAAATGAAACTATTGTTCACGACTGAATAAAGCACAGTGTAGTTACCCGAAATTTCTGTATTTTGTGCATGAATAAATAAAGCTCGTTATTTAATGTAAATATTGTTGTAATCTTTTCACTGAATTTCATCACAATCATTCAAGGGTTCCGTCTGAATGCCTCGAAATAGTCTAATATGCTTTGCACAGAACTTATACCTCTCAACTTCGCTCGTCAAGCCGAAGACCCGGGTTCGATTCCCGACATGGGTACAATGTGTGAAGCCAACTTCTGGTGTCCCCCGCCGTGATATTGCTGGAATATTTCTAAAAGCGACGCAAAACCATACTCACTCACTCACTATACCTCTAAACTCAATAATCAGTAAATCAGTTTGACGGTAATGTATCCATCACATTGATAACGTCTCAAACAATCTTCGTAGAACTCTGAAGTTTTTAATATCCACTCCAAAGTCTCGGTGAGCTCTTATAGCTGCATATTATCTTTGTTTATTAGTCTCTAAGTCTTCATCCCACCATGGAGGTTGCTTCTGTGTTGTTATAACGTAACTCAAATAAAAACCCTTTTAGTGGGACATACAGAAGAATTGTACATTTCTATCAGTACCCTTATTTTGTTATTTATTTCCACTTCACTCAGAGATACAAGTTCTTCAAACTTTGTGAAAATTGATTATCATCATTTCAATCTTATTTCTCCACTGTTGTCAAAGTAAATCGATTGTTACTATCTGACACACATATTACACTATGGTTCCATCGATCATCTTGATACACCTTCCAATGACGATTAATCTGTTGAGAAAAGACAAACATGGTTTAATGTTGTGATTACAAGAATAAAATCATCAACAATACTTAGATAAAATGCAATTTACGCCACGAGATTGGGAAGCCACACCAAAACCAAGACTATCCAACCATGGTTAAAATTTCACATTGACTGTCCTACCTTTAGGTGTCAGTCTTTTTAAATACCCATTCAGTCACAACAAAAGACGTCTACACCTGACCCAAGTAATCTTAAAGAATATCTTTATAGCTCACAGCTTACACACACTCCAAGTTATCTCCAATACATGCGGCCAAACAAACTTAAATGTGATTTTGACAACGTATATATTTTTTAAAATGATATACACCTCATAAATATCACATGGGCACTAGTCATATGAAATTGTCCCGTGTGACTCCTGAACCCGACTGAATGATCATGAATCTGTTGGTTAATGAAAAGGATCTGTGTTTGCATGCAAACCTGGCTTGTCTACTGAATTCCATTCTGACTTATTAACATTTAAGGGTTGGTTGAGATGTAATAAAGCTTCACCCTTGTCAGTCCAATGTTTGTTCACCTCGAAAGTAAATTTATGTATACTATCTAAAAAGTTTTTCATTTGGTACTACTAGTATTTGTTTAGGAAATATTTCTTTGAACAAAATATCATTTTCATTTTCCACATCCTCGATTATCCAGTGTATTCTTCATTCTATCATGCTATGTACCTGACCCATTCGCCACCACAGCGACGTTGTATCCCCGATTCTAAAGACATGCATGCAATGGCTATAACCAGCCACCCTCTGAAAATAATTGCAGTCAAGAGACATTCTCTGCGAAGGTACGTAGATGTTGACGTCACAGACCAAGATATGTGGACAAATGGGTCCCGGAGTATTTAACATTATAGAATATACTGAATAATCGGGGATAGTTTTACCATGGAGTGACAAATCTTAGATGTCAACAGATCGCACAAAACTATTGAATGTGTAATAATTCAAGAAAATATCCAGATCAATCCAAGAAACGAAGCCTTCCCCGTCGTCCTACACCGAGTGATATTTGATAGAGCTTTATGAAAGGCAGTTCTGGTACAAACACAGAAACGTGAATACTATTAACTTTTATAACTTCTTTTTATTACAGCAAGAGGCGATCACGTTGTAAGTACCCATGCATATTCCCCACTTGATAAAGTAATGATATTAAGGTGTATGTTATAATGTTCTAATCGTCAGTTGGCTTTCTATTTTCTCTGTCTCCATCTCGTCATTTATGACTTTATTAAATTGTTAATATCTACATCAATGTGTACCAAAAGTATGTAAGCATGACATGTTTGATGTTGTCATTACTTACTCATGCATGTATGATCATTAATTATTAATTGAAGGTCTAGAAGCAGTTTACTTTATGTTGGTAGATATGTGTGATATCAAACTGACGTATTGTGAGTTACAATGTATTGATAATACATTTTATCAAAGGGCATCTGCAGATAAAATAATTTAACAACATTAACATATCAATTCGTGATCAAAGGGAGATTACTCATGTTAAGTATTGCAATAGCGCGTCATGTAAATTATTGCTTGGTGCATCACGTATTGCATATAGCAGTATAAGGCAGGTGAGGAAGAACGGCATTCTGTTCAGTTGAAACTTGTACCTGGTGCGCAGTAGTTTTAAGTTAGGTGAGGAGGAATATGGACGCTACACATACGATTCGTTTCGGACGTTGACGCTGATGGCTCCGAAGAGAACTCGTTTGCATAAAATGGTGAAGACCAGGAAACCGCGAAGGAAACGACAGTTGTCATCAGCAGTGGCGGGAAACTGCTCCACAGCCCGGTCATGACACGACCATTTCGGCTGGAAGTTCAGGAGAAAGGAGTAGAGTCAAGCGTGACAGGCTGGATTCCCGCAGGTGAGAACAGTATTAACCTAGGTATCGATTTTGAAACAAATGTTTATCCTTATGCAGGAGGAATATCTGAACATGCAGAATTGCTAAACTTCAGCACGTCTGACGAAGTAGTACTGGCAGCTGATAATTTAGGTACTTTGTTTCAGAGTCCCATCAGAGACAAAATTCACAAGAGACAGTTATCCAGTTTGTAGAGTGGTGTTACAAATGAGCCAGACACATTTGGTTTTCTAGGTATTTGCGACAAAAAGGGCATGCAATTGATGAAAAAGAGCATACCAAACCAGAGAATATTGAGGAATGAACAACACTGGTCTTGATATTTGCCAGGGTTTATCTAGAGCGCTATCCACAAAATTTTATAGATATCGTCAGGAGTCATTATGGCATGTCAACATTATGGATTAGGCTGGTGTAAATACGATGAGCAGTTCTATATGTCATGGGCAGTGTTACTCCAGGAGCTGTGTTTGATGTGCATGACCCCTGCATATATGTCAAGGTCGTATGGTAGATCAGGCGTTGCCATGGGGAGGGGGGAGGGGGGAGGGGGGGTGGCAGTACAGACCCTTGACACAAGCAACATCCATCATTGTCCATGGGAAACCACAACACTTCCAGCAATCAGAGACTCTGCGACTAAAGGCATGACAATAACAAGGGGAGTCCTGTGAATTGCGAACTGCTTGGAAATTGGTCTGCAGATAACCACATAACAGGATACGGCTGACTGGAGGAGTGAAAGAAGATTTGAGAGCAGGCTGCATCTCTTACAGGAGCACAATGGTGTGACCATGTTTTTGAACAGGATGTGGCAAGGAAGAGACATTTTTAAAATTTACACTGACAGTACAGGAGAGGCTGGAAGTTTCAGATTGTATGGGGTATGGAAATGGTCAATGTTTTAGCTTATCCTCCATTGCTCCTTAATGCATTTACTGCTGTTTTTTCACAGCTGCAGAAGAAGTTGTTCCAACCAGTGATGTAGCAATACCGTCACACAGCTGCCATGTGGTCTGGAAGTAGTTACGTCACATGCCGCAAAACAAAGATCTGAGGGCATCACATTACGGGTCACCTTTCGGGAACTTTGACCGCTCTCTGAAAGGATTAACAAGAAGACGACATCAGCCAATTAGAAAGCAGCTTGTTCGATCTTTACGGCACTCGTTTCAACCTGGCGAGTTCCATTTCTGACTATGCTTGAAAAATAGTTTGACAGTCCTCGATTAAAATTGTGAAAACTGAACAAACGAACGTTCTGGAATGACTAATATATCGTTGCGATTGTCCGGCAGTGCTTCCTATATACTGTGCAACGCCTCCTCAGTCGTACGGGTCGTATCTGTTGTTAGGAATACCCTGTGTTAACGTTTTACGAGGTTGCATGATTAGAAAACACATTCTTGGGTAACTTTCATGATTGCGTAACGACGCTTTGATTGGTCGGATGAAAGGTGTCTCTGACGTGACCCGTAATGGGATGTCCTCAGATCTTTGTTGAGCGATAGCGAGAACTCAGATCTGATTTTAATGAGATTGGAATCTTCACCCTCTGTGTCAAGATTGCACATGGGGTGTAATGAGGCACCTCCCATCATCATTACCTCGATATAACAACGGGAGTGTTTATATGAGAATGGAAATGATCACCTTACTTCTTACATTATGATCTTTCAGACCAAAGTTATAGGTTTATATTCAGCTTTGTCCACTGGATACAACCTTGATTTCCCACGACTGTTACGATGATGCCTCGTTAGGTAGGGCAGCACATATTTTTAGTCTTCATGGGGTCTGGCATTCGTTGGCAGATAGACACAACTCTACACGCATCGTCAAGGCCTGACATGATCAGTAACCATCCTTAAATTGACTTGCCTAATTGTTGCTATACTTCCTCACTTTAGGTGATGTCTCCTGCTCGTAAATGCTGCTTTACATGGCTGTGTTGGTAAGATTATTCATCATGCAGTGCCTAAAAATAAACCTGCTTAGTTAGGGCTCGCATAGTCCAGGGTATATGAATGCAGACAGCTAATCCACATCATAATTTCAGATGTTCCAGGAATTGACACCAGACGCCGAAAACGGCCCGTCTCTGATTCCACACCACTCGAGGATATGGAAGATGAAGCTCATAGGTTACTAGATTCTTTGTCTTTCAACACCAGGAAAGCTTACACCAAGGCATTAAAAGCACTTGGGGCATTTCAAGAGGAATTTCAGCTGAATCCCTACTGGCCAGTCAACAGCAATTGTTTCAGCACATAGGGTGTATGGCTTTAAAGGGAAGAGCTCTTCATCGGTCGCCCAGCATCTTATGTCTGTCAGCAACGCTACAGATAACTTCATCTCGGAGAATGTTATGGCTGGCATGATAAATAGTAATCATAATATAGACACCAGAGCCCCTATTACACTAGCTATTATCAGCAAGCAAGTGTCGGTACTACCATTAATTTTCACTTCAACCTACTTTGTTTAAAAGCTTATTTACGTTGGCATATTTTTGCATTTATGTGCATTAGTGAACAGGTTGGTGGGCATAACCGGGGCATGGGACTTCTGGCGCAGGACATAATGCTGCATGGGAAGCAGCTTACAGTAAGTGTCAGGCATTCCAACATGGATCAGAACGGCCTATACTGTACGTTGATCATCAACTCGCAACAGGACGGGCGGGTGGGTCCCATCAAGGCCAGGTTGGAGTATTTAACCGACAGAAGCAAAGAAACCAACATATCTAAATCATTCTTTCATGCAGATGGTTCATGTGTCAAACAGAAAGCCAGTTTACAGCACTCCTGAAGAAGCTTCATTGATCTAAGCTCTGATGCGTACACGTCACATTCCTTACGGATTGGGGCGGCAACTTGATGTGCATCACCTCTGATACAACTAAATCTTTGGCAGAAGATGAAAGTCCTAGAACCGCCAACAATATTTGTTAATACATTAAGGCTCAAATGACTTGGTTATGTTGTCAAGAACAAGTCAGACATCTTCGTCACAGACCTAAAGTAACTGAATAAGCTATTGCCTCATACTATCATCGTGCGGCCTGAGGGGCTGGAAAGGGGCTGATTCTGGGGGAGCGATGGACAGGAAGCGGAAAGGAATTATTCAGTGTGTATCTGTTGAAGTGTATCTTCTTTGGGGTAATGTTGTGAAACATGAAATTGTGGCACGTGACTGTGCTTTATTGTGAAGATGAGATACATTTTTCTGAGGTGGACATAACCATTTGCATGGTACATTTGTTAAAGTGAAGGTCCCTCATTTTTTAACCATTAGTTAAAATGCTTTGTCAGCATATTTGGGGTTGTTGTTTTTTGTTTTTTTGTCACTCCAGCATATTTCTGTGGTTTGTGTTTTCTTCTTCTTTCAGGGCTGCCGGGATCAGCGTCACTATGTCACACTTAGTCTATGAGTAATAACTGAAACAAGACAAAGATTGCATAGAAATCCTAATGTTTCATCATGAGTAAGATGACAGAAGTCTTATCGTGTCTACTCATGTTTGGCCGAGTGGTCGATGATGGTGCCCCTCTCTGTTATTCCTCTCATGTGTAACGGGTACTGCTAACCACCCACATGGTGGAATGTGGGCTTTACTTTAGGGAGTTGACCATTAGGTGCATTTCATTTGGGTACTTTCATTTGCCTTATATTGTATTTATAACCAGCAATAAAGTGTGCCCAGATGTCTTCCAACAATTCAATAGTTTGTATTTATTTCATTAAAGTATGCTTTCTTGGGTCAGTTAAACTTTCATATGTTGGTACATGAATGGAAATCTGTATATTGTATTCACAATCAGCAATAAAGTGTGCCCAGATGTCTTCCAACAATTCAATAGTTTGTATTTATTTCATTAAAGTATGCTTTCTTGGGTCGGTTACACTTTCAAATGTTGGTAAACGAATGGAAATCTGTGATGCAATCTGATTTGTTGAAACCGTTAAATGGATTTTTTTATTCCAAATTCTAAAGTTGAAAAAAGTTCCATTGGACTTGGCGAAATGAAAATGATGTTTGATCCAAATTAGTCAGAACAACTTCTTTATTTTTCACATTCTACGAAAGATGTAGAGTTAGTTACCACTCCTCCTCCGTGGTCTAGTGAATAGAGCGTCCTCCCCGAGAGTTAAAAGTCGGTTGCTCGATCCATGGCCAGGTCATACCAAAAGATGGTACTTGTTGTTTCTCTGCGCTCTGCATTAAGTGATAAAAACAAGGACTCGTCAGAAGGAGTCTTTATAAAGGAGGCGTTATATGCATTATAACATGAATATTCCCTCAGTTTCAGACAATTCTTCAAGGCGTTCTTGTGCAAAGAGTGAGTATACGTTTTTAGAAAGTCTTATAGTTTGTATATGAAACATGATTTCAGATGTTATATCAGGTGGTATATGTATAATTGGGTGCAGTTGGGTAGCTTACTTGTTAGAACACCAGCTCGTCATGCACTCGAAACAAGATATGGTGCAAATTCCTCCCATTTATATAGCTACTATATTGCCTGAAGGTGGCGTTAAACCACACTTGCTTTCTTATATACATTATAACATTATATTTTTTAAAAATTTGAAGTTTACACGATATACGGCTTTTCCATTGGACGAGAGTTCGGTCACATGACACGGAAATTGACGTTCATAAGCGTATGAACGACACAATTTGACGTTCATAAGTTTTTCACGAGACCGTGTTCTTGAAATGACGTAAACACTGACAGACTACTTCCACATTCCCAGGCAATCCCTGGGAATTCCCTAGCACGAAACATGCATAAGCGTTCTTTCTGATCATTTAGAACCTTTTTTCTTGGTCTCAGTGCTTCAGTATACATTGAGAAATGTCTGAGAGCGTGACTGCATGATTGTTCACGAACATCCTCGCTACGGCCCGTCCTAATGAACAAACGAAGAAATGCACATCTAAACTATCGTGGTATCGACTCGATCCGTGCCTTGGCTGACATTGACCGTCTCCAGCAATCTATGCTCGTACCTTTGTGTCTGTTTGTCGCATCTTTATAATTATTCACCTTTCAATGATCGGCCAGTTGATCAATGATGACTAACACATATAACCGCCACAGGTTAAATAACAACTTTGGAAATCTCTCCCGTCACGTTTATCGTGTCGGCCATTTTGACGTCTTGTACTTGATGTAAATGTATTACTGACTTACTGAGGTAGTTCTTTACAGACCTTTCTCATCTAATGAGGATATGATTTGAACACATGTGCTGCCGAAGATGTTTCTGAAGAGCAAGTTGTGCATCCATACGCCCATGTCACCTCTCGTTTTGAGGAACTATTTTACTCCGCGATATAGCTGGTTGTTGTATTGCTGTCAGTGTAAACATGAAGTCACACTTACTAAATAAAATTGTGTTTACATCTTGGCCTACATCCTTTGAGAGAAGAAATTGTGATAAAAAATTATAAGAATTGTCTTTGACTTTGTGTGAGTTCATTGGAGTATGAACCTTCATAGAGTGAGGGCCCAACATTGTATGAACGTCGTCGCAAGCTCCGACGTTCATACAGTTTGGCCCTCACGAATAACAAATCGAGAACATGCAATGCCAAGCGTGAGTATACTTAAAGGCAAATAAGGCTTAAATGGAATTGCGCCATACTCACCTTGTTATATTTATGTGTTGAAAATCTGACGGAATTAAAATAAACATGTACGCATGGAGTATCCTTCCCTAGGTTTTATAAGTACCGCTAGTTTTGTCTTCTGATTCTAGTATGATGAAATATGTATGTATCGTTACAAGGCATGGTTGATGAGGGACCGACCATTTGATAGATGGGGGAGAGATAAAGGAGCTCGGGCTTATAGTTTTAAGATTTAACACGTATAGCAAACTAATTACTATATCCATACGGAAGATCAAAATAAAGTGCTGACGTGGCTACATATCAGTCTCGAAGAATATATTGACATCTGACTGCGGCTCTGTGATATTTGCACTAATGCAAATTACAGTTCCATTATGTTTGTGCAACATGGATGATGTGAAGTTTGGCTTTGTGCCAAATATGGGAAAATGGACTTTCATACTAATTAATAATGCCTCATCTTGCATCATACAAAATGGACACCTATCTTCATTCTTCTCTGACCAAAGGGGATGTAGACAAGGAGACCCCATGTCTCGCTACCTATTCCTGCTAGTTTGGGAATAATGATTCGTGATAATAATGCAGTTAAAGGTATTAAACTGAATAATGTGGAACATATACTTGGACAATATGCTGATGATATAGAACTATTTTTGATGGACTGATGAAAGTTTCTGTACAGCAATTGACACCCTTAGTGACTGTTATAGACTGTCTGGATTATAATTTAATATTGATAAAACAGAAACAATATGGATAGTCTCAAGGACATGCTGTAACATGAAATTATGCCAGGACTGGCACAGTGCGGACTTTGGGAATAAAGTTTAATTGTAACTTTACAAATTTGTGGATAATCAATACAAAAAAGAGATTTTAAAATATTTATCAAATTTTAGGGAATTGGAGGAAAAGAATTTAACATTGATAGGTCAAACTACTGTTGTCAAAACCTTGGCATTGTCAACCTTAGTACATATATGTTCTTCTCTTCCAAACCATCCAAGTGAATTTATTGATGAACCTAACAAAACATTTTACAGATTTATCTGGAATGATAAAAGGGATAAAATAAAACGTACAACATTAATTGGAATATATACTGAACAGCATTGAAAACGGACCAGCAATAAATCTTGAAATATTACAAAAACAACTTGAGCAATGACCGATTTTGATTAGAACAGACATAGACGGATTATTAAGAAAGACGACAAAGGAAACAGGAATACCACACAGTAATTACAATTACGTCATCAGTGTGAGGAAGACACATAGGGTTAAAATGAAAAGTCAATATCTGGTATGTCCGCAGTTGACAGCAACACAGGCCATGCAACGTCTTCTCATTGATCAAAATAAGTCTGTGAATAGTGTTCAGGGGCATTCCACTCAGGGGCATAAGGTACCCCACGTCGACGCTACACTCGCAGTCGACCGTCAGCATTCCGTAAATGAAAACGGGACTCATCAGAGAACAGCACACCATGCCACTGCCGCAATCTCCAATGACGATGTCTTTTGGCCCAACGCAGACGTTCATTTCGATGTCGATCAGTGAGTATGGGTCCAACATATGGACGTCGAGCACCTAGCCCTGCTGATCGGACACGTCGACGTACGGTGCCAGCACTGATCAATTCCGTCGGCCTTGTACGGTTGCTGCAGTCCTGGTAGCCGGACGTGTACAATCACGAAAATGCCGACGAACAATATTGCGATCCTGATGTGGTGTATTTACACGACGTTGACCCGGACTCGGCCGATCTCTGGTGGTTCTTGTCTGCTGGTATCTGCTCAGTAGCCTGAGGACTGTTGAATGATGTCATTGAAACCGTTGTGCAACGACTCTACTTGACGTACCAACTTGAAGCATGCCCAAGGCACGTTCAAGGTTCCTATGCTGTTAATCTTGGCATTTCTTGTGTCAGTACCCGTTACGTCTGCAGCAACAAGTGATGTGGCTTTTAAAACTCTGTCTTTTATAGCCCTATTCTGCATGCTTCCTGTAAAACAAAACACGTTTTCCATGATGTGCACACAATTTGTTGCGTTTTGGCGATTTAGCTCAACAAAAATTAGGGAATGTGTTTTGACGAGCTGTTCTTCTTCATGCTTCGTCCAGAACGTCGTATATTACTCATTCACTTATATATTTACATATGACTTAAGCCCGGATAAATATACATCCATTTTCATGGCGGTGCGTTTTCAATGCTGTTCAGTATATGATGAAGCCATACTGGGAACGATAGAGGTAAGGCTTATTTCTATTTTCTAAAAAAACGTCATCAAAACAAAAACTGCAATAATCCTAGCATCTTTCTTCTACAAAACATTCTTGAGGTCAATATCGAAAACTGTATACACTTAACTAACCCTTACTGGAGAGATGTATTTGCTGCGAGGGGAACATTTTATAGAAAACAGAAAATCAACTCCACAAACATTTGAGAAGTACTATGAGAACCTCTTTGGTGTAGTGTTTGTTTGTTGTTTAACGCCGCACTCAGCAATATTCCAGCTATATTGACGGCGGTCTGTAAATAATCGAGCCTGGACCATATCAATCCAGTGTTAACATCATGAGCATCGATCCAAGCAATTGGGATCGATAACATGCATCAACCAAGTCAACGAGCCTGACCACCCGATCCCGTTAGTCGCCTTTTACGACAAGCATAGTCGCCTTTTACGGCAAGCGTTGGTTGCTGAAGACCTATTCTTTGGTGTAACCATCAGTTTAAAAAATAGATTTCATGATAAGAAATTTCTTTTTGAAGGGAATATACACTATTAAAGATCTCTGTAATGAAGATAATATAATGCCCTTCAATGAACTAAAAATAATCAAATAAATAAAGGAACAATTATTGACTATTACCAGGTTCTATCAAACATACCAAAACCCTGGAAAGATGCTATTAGAAATAATCCAATTATCTTATATACTCGAGTAATCAACATTCAGAAACAACTTTGATAGCCTTACTTGTAGCGACTGAGGACTCCAGATATATTGTTTTATGAAAAGACTATATATACAGCAAATCTCCAGTATGTGAAAAATGGG